CGGCCTATCTGTGTCGGTGGTGGCCATCTCGGTGGCCATAGATCCCAGCACCTACACCCAGAACGACTATTGTGTCTTGATGGAGGCGAATATCCTGTTCTATGCCACATTTGTGGCTCCAGTTCTCATATTCTTTGTGGTAAGTGATAATACTTTCATAGAAATTGCATCCCTATATCGTATACCCTCTTCTCAGGCTGCCATTGGCTATACTTTCCTGTCCTGGATCATTATGTGCCGTAAGAGCTGCACTGGCCTCAAGACCAAGGAGCACACTCGCTTAGCTAGTGTTCGGTAAGAAGAGCATTTGATAAAGATATCTAATCCTTACTAACCTTGAAACTCCTTCTGTAGCTTTGACATCCGCTGCTCCTTTGTATTCCTCCTGCTACTGAGCGCTGTTTGGTGCTCTGCCTACTTCTACTTGCGTGGCGCCAAATCAGATGAGGACACCACCACTATCTATGGCTACTGTTTCATCTGCTTCAACACCCTGCTGGGTCTCTACATCTTTGTATTCCACTGCATCCAAAATGAAAAGATTCGCCGGGAGTATCGCAAGTACGTCCGTCAGCATGCTTGGTTACCGAAATGCCTGCGCTGCTCCAAGACCTCTATCTCCTCGGGCATTGTGGCAGGAGGGGGGCCCGCTGCTGGAACACTGTGCAGCGTCAACACCTCCAAGAAACCTAAGCTGCCGATGGGAGTTAGCGAGGAAGCCCACGACGAGCAGCCACCACACCAACAGGCGATGGGTGTGCCTGCTCCGGAGGATGCTATCATGGGAGCCACCTCTGATTGTGAACTAAACGAAGCCCAGCAGAGGAGAACTCTGAAGAGCGGCTTGATGACAGGCACATTGCAGACACCCCAGCAGCCACTGGGTGGCCATGTGGTGCTCGAGAGGGGCAGCACTCTGCGCTCCACTGGCCATGCCTCGCCCACCAGCTCTGCCGGCTCCACTCACCTTATCTTTGCCCACAAGCAGCAGCAACAGCAGCAGGCACTGGGAGAGTCGTATTACCACCAGCCGGACTACTACAGCTGGAAGCAGCCTCCCCAAGGAGGACTGAAGAGTCAGAGAGAGTACTATAACAATGCCGGGGTAGCTGCCTCTTCGCCCCAGCAGGCGCACGAAGTGTTCTACTGGACCCAGAAGCCCAACAGTCAGCACGGCAAGAAGAAACGCGGCGGAGCAGTCCCAGCCTCGCCTAGTGGATCCCTCCACAGCCGCACCGCCGCCGCTTCGCAGGTGCTGTTCTACCCATCTTACAAGAAGACCAAGCAGGGCCAGCCATCCGGCTATCCGCACTACGCGGAGGCACTGGATCCCCCACATAGTGCTGGAGCTGCTTTCTACCAACAACAGCAGCAGATGCGTCGCCAACAGCAGCAGCAGCAACAACAACAACAGCAGCAGCTCTCCTCAGACGAGGAACAGGCTGAGCAGCATGCTCATCTCCTGCACTTGCAGCACCAGCAGCAGCAACAGCATCAGCGACGAGTCGGTGGCCAACAGCAGCTTCCCGCTCCACCGCCACACATGGCGCACTTCCAGCAGGAGTTCATGCAACGCCAGTTTAGAAATAAGACTTCCAACTGTGATCTGGGCATGGGGGGCGATACCTACCACAACCAAGGCAGCGAGGGCGGCGCCGATGTCTGCCCCGTCTACGAGGAGATCCTCAGCAATCGCAACTCGGACGTGCAGCACTATGAAGTGGGTGACTTCGATGTGGACGAGGTGTACAACAATAGCGTCGGCACCGGCGTATTTAACAGTATGCGAGCAGCCATAACCGCTGGTGGCAGTCGCTACGGCGGCGGCAGCCTGAGTGGTGGGAGCGTCTCATCCCGGAGCCAACAGCAGCAGCTGCAAAAACAGCAGAAGCAGCAGCAGCAACAACAACAGCGATCGGCACGCCGCTGCACCGCCGATGACGATGACGACGATGATGAGGAGGAGGATGATGAGGCTACGGCCGCGGAGCAACTGCACGACAGCGTCTGTGATGATGATGATGAGGAGGAGGAGAGCGATCTGGATGACGACGCGCACAAACTGCCACCCCAAAGCGACGAGCGAATGCGCCGTCTGATGGCGATGCAGGATGAGGACTTTAAGCGGCGGTTTCAGTAAGTCCCATTGCAAGATAGTGTACTTAATTTTTTTAAACTTTTACTTTACCCTTCCAGACGTCAGCAACGCAAGAATGGCTCGTCCATTGATTATGGAGCCTTGCCACCGGGAGTAGCGCCAGGAGCTGGATCAGCAGGTCCGCACCCCGACCACAATCGTGCGGTTTTTGGGGTTAGCGGCGGCGTTGGTGAGGGCTCCATGCGTGGCGCGTACCGGCAGCAGCAGCAGCAGCAACAACAACAGCTTAACGCCAAGTCGCCAAGTGCCCGCTTGGCGGTGAATGAGCTATTCGGTCATGGTAATGCCGGGCCACCGCTGCCGCCGGCAAATCAAACGCCCGCGCAAAAGCGTCAGCAGCTACAGAAACTGTCACCACAGTCCACCACATCATCGTCGTCGCATACATCGCACAGCAACCTGCATCCACATCCCCATCCACTCACCCATCAGCATCAGCATCCGCATCCCCCCCAGCAACGCCATCTGTCGGCCATGCTGGACGAGAATAATACGGTGCGCTGCTATCTGGAGCCGCTGGCAAAGTGAGGCAGCCACAACCAGATAGAGACGGGTCACCGGTTACCGGATAATTAAATAAACCCCGGAACAGTCTTAGGCAAAAATTGTAGCTTAGGGTCTATAGCTATACCTAGAATTAGTCGTTAGTCGAAATATGGAGCATTGTGTGAAACAACGTGCTGTCATGCTATACGTGCAGTGATTCGAGAATCCCAAAACTTTATGAATGTATATGTAATAATTGAACCTAGACCATAGGCCCAGAGACAGACAGACAGACAGAGGATGAAGAGCAGTGCAAGCTTAACCAAAACACGAGAAAAAGGATATATTAAGAGAGAGAGGTCCTTCGACTTGCATGCATTTTATACCGACTTTGAAATCGATATTAATATAAATGTATGTACCATATATGTATAATGTATTGTAATACATGTCACCACATGCCATTTTTAAATACTTAAATAATAATTTAAACAAAAAGGAACAAAATCAAGAATATATATATATATATATATATGAGTGTATATGTATAAGATCTGAACTGTATGTACATGATGGTATATAGAATGCAGGCGAATTATGTTTTATGTATTTTGTAAGGTATCAATTGTTTTTGATTTTCGCTGATTATGCTCGTAAGATATATATATATATATAGACACAGGCTTAAGATTTGTTTCGTGTTTCATAAACCAAAAAAAAAAAAATTATAAGAAAAGAAAGGAAACCCCCATGTTTAATTTTTTTGCTATCCAACTGCCGATGTACACTTTTAAACCAAAATATTCCTTCCAATATAGAAACATGATTCCGAAGGAATTGTAATGCCATTATGTTAACGCATTTCTTTTAATTTTCTAAAACGAGACCAGAACGAAGCATTTGAAGTGTACATTTTCATCAATATATATATAGATGCTTTAAGCACACGAATTAGGGGCATTTATTTTATAGTTTTTGTTTCAAGAAGAAAGCGAATGCTTAGAATGCTTTATTATTTATATGATGTAACGAGAAATTAAATAAATCGAATGCTATGTAAATGTCTTGGAAATTGCATTGCAGGCAGGCACCAAACCAAAACTGAACACCGGATAGATCAGCATACAGAAATACCTATTATAGCAAAGAAAGATTTCAACAAAACCTCACTTGTTAACTAGGAACTAACTGTAAACTCTTTGAAAAACTAGCCAGCTAACATCACCAACTAATCTGTAATACCCAGAGACACCTACATACCTACTATCTCCTCTGAATGGCATTCCTTCTAGAATTTCACGCATGTGTACAAAAAACCAAATAAAATAAAGTGCAAAACCGAATGATTACCAATACTATATATGGATGTATGTGTCGTACGTAATAGCCAATGAAGCTCCATTGTCCAGTTCACCATTTTGACCCCCGACCTTCGCCCGCAGATCCTGCAAGTTCAACTTGCCCGCCTATCAACAATGACTCTATAAAGCACACAAAGGATAAAGTTAGTTAGTAAGCACCCGCAGCATAAAACACAAATTTAGCATAAATCGAATGTGGAAAGTACATATGTTTGCGGACCAGAGATCTGCGAACTAGCCGGTATTGAATGTATAGTGTTGCGAATCCTAGTACTTTACGTATATTAAACCAGATATATCAGATACGAGTATATATGTGAATGTATATTGAAGCTGTACGCAGGCCACTGAAAAGCCATTTTCGTCTCAACGTCCTTTTCAACTCTCCTGAAAGGATATCAAAATCTGAAATATGAAAAACAAAACCGAACTACAAACCAGATTCAAGTTTATTGAAAAGCCCGATGAAAATGTTAATGTACACAATTTTTTCTAATTAAGACAAAAATAAAAAACTGATTGCAATTTAATGTAAATGGAAATGTACTTGTTTTATTAGGAACGGGGTTTTTTGGATTTCGAGAGAGTTTGGTTCAAATATTTGAAAGTGATAAGGACAATATGGCAACCTGCAAAGGTCATATCTTTAAAATGCGGAAAGTCCATGGGGGGAGCATTATGGCGGCCTCTGAAGGCTATATCTTTGAAAATATCCAAATCCATTCTTGAACAGAATATCTTAAAAAATTTGTAGATCGAATAATTATATAAATATTTTTCTGAAACCTTTTAGGGGACTCCCCCGAAAAAAAATTGGAGATGGCAGAAAGAGTATAAAATGTTGGCCCCTATTAAAGCCTATATCTTGTCAACAGGAAATTGGTTTATAAGTGGTTTACATTTAACTATTTTAAAATCAAATTTCTTCCAATATTTTATAAACTATTTATTTTAAATTTTGTTTCAAATGTATCTGGTGGATATTTTCTTGGTATTTACTGCCCAACACAATACGGTCACTCACATGTATTAGTAATCTATTTTTTGGAAAAACAAATGTTTACATCGCATAGTTAGCCACAATGACTGATTTCCAATGGCCCTGGGAGTACTCTTTCCCACCTTTCTTCACGTAAGATCTTAGAACTCCTTATATTGTTGGCCAACTAATCCTGGCAAGCAGTTTACAGCCCCATGAAGAAACCAGGCAACAACAACTAAAGGTCTGGACGGATCTGTTTTTGAAATACCTCAAGCATACGAATAAGTTTGCCGTTAGCATCAATGACCAGAACTCTCCGTTGTTCCACAACGAATCTCTCAAGCGCAGACTTTCCTCAGAGCTCATCCTGGCGATCCTGGGCGAGCTGGAAAGGAGTGGTCACGCCAGTCCCCTGGACAAGCGCCGCCAAGAGTGGCAGGTGTACTGGCATACTCTGGAGGAGTACGGAAACCTGGTGTACGATTGGATACAGGAAACTGGCCAAACGAACAGCATCTGCACGCTCTACGAGATTGCGGCCGGGGAGAACACCACCCACCTCGACTTCCACGGTGTGGATGAAGCGGTGCTGCTGAATGCCCTGAGACTACTGGAGGAGAAGGGAAAGTGTGAGCTGATCGAAATGGACGGCAGTCATGGTGTCAAGTTCTTTTAATTCTTTTGTTCCCATTGCTAAGTTTGCCGTTAGTGTGATTTTCAAGATAATACCAATTTTTTTTTCAGTGCATTAAAAGATAAATAGTAAGCCATAAATATATTATAACTATTACATGTACAACTATTAAAGCCACAATATTACAATTTTAATTGTATTTTAAAGAATATTTTATTATTTGCATTTTTAAATAAATGAATGTTTTGCAGCACTACTCTTATCAGTTATTTTTTGTCCTTTTTCAACCCTATTTCTTAATGTTGTGAAACGTTCCGCGGCATTCATGTTAAGGTTTTGTTTTTGTGGAACATTTTATCAAAATATTACAACAAAATGGTGAGTATATAACAATAAACAGGATTGGATTCAGTTAATCTAACCATTGCTTTAACCAGAGCGTAGAGGATGTGATTCGGGAGATCGACAACCTCAACTTGGAGACTGTGCTGCAACATGCCGCCCTAGCGAGCCTCACCTGCACGGGTCGCACTCTGGGCTCCGACAAGACTCCTTATTTGGTTGCTGAGAATGATGAGAATGTCCCGGTGCTTCCAAATAAATCTCCAGCGAAAACTGAATATCTTTCTCCCGCTAAGATTGACATAGAACCCAGTTTAAGCTGTTTTCCGGGCGCGGATGCCATCAATGCCAGCATCGTGAAGCGGGAGCTGGCGGAGCAGTGTAAAAAGAGCGTCCGAATGCAGCTGAATCAACTCCAGGAGAAGCAACAGTCCTTCCGTTCGAAGCTGGACAAGCAGCAGAGAGAGCAGGAGAATCTCGAAATCGTCAATCACAAGGCGCTCCGAAAGGAGCAAGAAATTCTTATATGCCAAAAGGCCGATCAGCTGGCCAATGCCCATTTGGATGCCCAGCAGCGGGAGCAGCAGGCACTGCGCCGTCAAACGGATCAGAAGCTGCAGCAGCTGGCATTAGAGGGCGTGGCCCGCTGTCAGAGGCGATTCAGTAAGAAGTTCGAGGGCATCACAAAGCTGCTACTCTCCCTGGACAAGGATACGGTTCAAGTGTGCGCTCACCACAACCGACAGCTTAAGGATTTGGCCCAACAGTTCGAGCAGCTTGTGAGCAACGTGAAAGCCGGAAATTGCGAGCAGACGCAGTATTTACGGACCATCATAAAGGCAGAACAATGCTGCAGGAACTTGGATACCCTGGAAGTGGACATGATAAAGCAACTGGCCGAGTTCTCGGAGCTAATACAGCAGCAGATAAAGGTGGAGGAGGCCAAGAGGCACGAAGAGGAGCAAAGGAAGAAGCTCGAGGAGAAACAGCGCCTCCAGAAGGAAAAGGAAGAGGCCGAGGCGCGTCAGACTCAACAGCAGCAGCAACAGCAGGCCGAGGAGGCAGCCAAAGCTGCGGCGGCCCAAGCAGCAGCCGCCAAGACAGAAGTCCAGCCAACTGCAGCAAAGCCGGCAGTTGGTACACCCTCGGCAGACATCTCCACTTCCTATGTCCACCCAGAACGACTGAAGTTCTACAACGAAATCCTCGCCCTCTACCAGACAAAAGTGGATGCAGTGAAGCCACTGCAAACGGAGGAGTCGCTTAAGCAATACCGCACCGGCTGCCAGCGAGCCATAAATCTGCCCCTGAACGCCATCTCGGCGGTGAGTCCCCAGCACTTGAGCAACAACTTTGACAAGCTCTATACCTTCTTCGCCGGACAGCCGGTCAAGCTGTTGAATGGGGCTTCCATGACCATTAACGATCATCCTCTGGCGCGCGACTACTGCCTGCTCCTAATGGCGAAGAAGTTTGTCAGCCAAACGGAGACGGCGATCTCCAGCAATCCGCAGGCCGCCTTTCCTTTCGCCTCCGTCATTGTTACGTTTTGGAAGCTGCTGCCCGACTTTGGAAAGGTTTTCCTGGCCTACCTTTACAAGGAATCGCCCTTTCTGGTGCCCTACGTGATTCCTCAGCAGCAGGGACAGTCGCCTGAGCAATACCTAAAGATGATTGGCTACCGCCTGACCGAAAACGAGCTGGAAAAGCCGGATATGTACCTGAAACGCCAGACCGGAATAGCTCGCCTCTATGCGGCTGTGATGATAACACCAGGACGGAAGGCTGATGGACCGGAGCACTGCTTTGGTCTCGAGGAGGGCTGGCGTTGGCTGGCGCATATGGTGCATGTTAAACCGCTGCCCGATGTCAGTGCCACCCTCATAATGGAAATTCTGCAAACCCTCGGATTCGAACTGTTGCGCACCTACGGCAAGCAGTTCGTGAAGCTTCTGTGCTTCATCCAGAACACCTACATGCCCCAGCTGGCGGCACACGACGAAGGCGGTCCGAAGACCCGTCTGGAAATGATATTGGGCAAGTTCCTGCGAGAAGGTCAGATACCCCAAGCCGTTGGAGTACTTCCTCCTGGCTTCTGGTAGTTTTTTAAGAAAATTATTTATGAAATTTAAGAATTAAAGTGACTGTCATGTTTGATTTAAGAAGCAACCGAATCTTTTCCAGAAATGCAACGTTTGAAAGCCACAACTTTATTGATCGAAGGGTAGCTGAAGGCAGAAATCATTTTATGAACTCGTTTCGAATCGATCTACCCAGGTGCCCTCCTAATCATCGTCCTCGTCGTCCAGATCCAAGTCATCCAGTTCGTCGGCCAAGTCGACAAATAGGTCCTTGTTAATGGGGGCAGCATCGTTGGCAGGTGCAGATGACGAGGGGCCATCGTCCTCGGTGGCCGCAGCTTCCTCTGCCGCGGCAGTTTTGGCTGCTTCCGTGGCCTGGTCGAGTAACCGGGTGCTGGAGGCGATGGTTCCAGATCCATCCACCTCTTGAGCGGCCAGCGACAGGGCAGCCAGATCGAGCTCCTTAAATTCAATAGCATTGTCGTCGTCATCATCCTCACGGTTGTAGATATCGAAGGCGGCGTCACCCTCCTCCATGGGTCCGTCGTCGACCAGGTCGGGGTTGAAGCTGAACATCTCACGACCCGAGATGCCGAACTGTTTGCCCTTGCTGAAGTCGCTCTTCTTGCGTTCCTCCTCGGCGGCCAACTTGGCCTTCTTCTCCGATAGCTTCCGCTTCTTCCAGGCCAAGAACGACTCGAGAGTAACGCGCGTCTGGTTGGGACCGAGAGCCGCGCGTTCCTTTTCGATGAGATCGACCAGGGAAATTTCCGAGGGCTTGTCCTCCTTCTTTTTGTCGCGCTTCAGAACATAACCAGCCGGCAGGGCGTGCCGGTAGATGCACTTCTCGCCATTGGGGCACTCCCAGAACCAGCCGTACTTGGACTTTTCAACGGCCTCCAGGAAGTACTTGCAAATCTAAAGCACAAATCCAAGTTAAGTGGAAAGGGTATTCCTAGGGAACTGAAGAGAAAACTTACAATATCAGTGGTAGGGCGTCGCTTTTCGCCGGAGTGCTTCTTGTCCACCACTTCCTTGAGCTTGGCATCGTCCCAGTTGGTCATCGTGTCATCCTCGCCGTCACGCATATCCACGTAGATGGACCGCTTCTCGACCTTGTTCTCTTGGGAGAGGTCGTGGGAGAACTTACACTTGTCACCCTTGGTACAGATGCCCTGCTTGAAGAAGGCGCAGACCACTGACTTGGGATCGGTGCCCTTCTCCACCTTCTGCGTCTGGACCGGCTTGAAGATCATGGCCATCTCGCGCTGATCAGCCAGCTTCTTGTCTTTCTCCTCCTTCCGCTTATCGCCATCCTGCCTGGGATGATGACCGCCGGCCTGTACCTGCTTCTGGACCTGCTGGATGAACTTCTGCTGCTTGTTGCCCTTCTTGTTCTTTAGTCCGAAGGTCTTGTCCTGCAGGCGAAATCGGCGAAAATACACATACATAATGAAAAGGGTTCCACATCACAAAGTAGCACGGCACTTTTTGTTACCCCCTTACCTCAATAACCTTCTCCTTCTTCTTTTGCTCCGTCTTCTTGCTGGGAGCCGGCGCCTTTTTCGGTGGCATCTTCGGTCGAGATACGGGAATTTATAATGCTAAATCGAATTATAAACTGTTTTTGCACAACCAGGTTAAAAAACAAAACGTGTTGCTATTCTATTATAAATCTCATATGTGTGACCAGCTAGCAAAAAGAAAGTTCATTTTTTTATGGTATTTTTTAAATGTAAAGCTTGGTATATTTTTTATTCCTTGCTATTTTTTAATTTTATTATAATGTCCTTTTGCTAAAAATAACGGAAAATAAAATTTTTATCTCTATTTTATTGCTGAGAACTCATTTTATTCTATTAATTTACAAGTATCTCTGCACTTTAGCTAACAGAGTCTGTTAAAGCGAAACTGTAAAGTTTGAATCCTAACAGAGGCGGTAAATTTAAATCTAGGTATTAGGATAATGTGTTTTGTAAGAGTTGGATTTTAACTCTCCTGAAGACACAGTTCAACCCCAATTCTTTGAGTCTTCATTAAGCCCTAATGTTTAGTATATTATTTCATTAAAATAGTTAATTACTAAATTTCTATAGTTCTTCAAAGTTTATTTCTATATTCTTTCTATAGTTCATTTCAAAGTACTTTTTATTTCTTACTGATATAGACAATTTTTTATTTACATATTCAGAGGCATTTTGTGCCTTTCCCAACCTCTTTTTTATTATTATTTGTTTGTGGCCACTTCAGCGCACATGTTCAAGTTGTACGCATCATAATAAACATACATAGTTCAATTATCCGCCCTGGTTCCCTCCAATGCAGAAATCGCTTTCAAAGGCCTTTTAACTCACACACACAGTTACACAGGAAAAAAATAAGTAGTTTTTACACTGATATATAAATTAGAGATTAATTTAAGATAGTAAGCCCATTCAAAAGTTGTGTGGTGTTTTATTTTTATAAAATTTTTTTCTAAGCAAATATGTTTTGATGAATTTTTCACAGTGTACTGTGAGAGGGTATACACAAACACGAGCACTGCCATGTCTCTTCGTGGGTGGCCCTTAATTCGTCGTCAGTCTGCTTGGGTGGCCTCTATTAGCCGTCCCGCTCGCTCGGGCACATGCGGGCCCCGCGCCCGAGTGAGAGCAGAGTGCCCCCATTGATCATTCCCCTCGTTTGATAGTGCGTGACGTTCTCCAGTACTCCAGTACCGCCACTCGGATGCGGATGGTGGGGCGCCCATTTTGATCCTTCGTCTGCTCTTCATTCGCGCTCATTTATTCGAGCATAAAATTAGCAATTATTTGTTTCTTGCCTCTCCAACTGGAGAGTGTACCAGCTCCTGGGCGACCGATCTGTGTGGTCGGTCCATTATTATTTTTTTTTTTTGCTTTGGGCTTTAATCCGATATTTGGAGCTTTCTAGGAATCGCCATTCTGGTCTAGTAAACTTGGGTTTTATGATTATAGTTCTGTGGAAAACCAAACAAAAATATTTGTAGAGGATCAGGCAGTAAAAACTAAAGCTCAAGGCCAATATTTATAGTCGTTTTATTAAGCAATAATATTTGCTTCCTCTTGCCGTTTTTAAGATCTCCAATTAATGGAGAAATTATCCTGCACTTGTCTTTCCCAGTTTTTTCCCAGCGGCAGCAATAAAATTATGACAAGCAACAGCAGCAACATCAAACTACAATTATTTTGATGTTGACAGCAAGATAGATAGCAATAATTTGCATCAAGAACAAGCCTGAAGTTGTTATTGTATCTTACAGATACTTACTTCCAGATAAAAGGAAAACAAGCTGCAAGTTGCAGGCGTAACAAAAGGGGAACACCAGCAGCAGCAGCAACATCGCCAGCAACATCACCAGCAACATCAGCAAGATGTTACTTTTGACAATATAAAATAGCAGCATGGTTATAGTATCATGGATATCCCCCCCTTCCAGACTTCATGGTGGTCTTCAGCATGTCTCCATCTCGGGGGCTTAGTTGCTGCTGCTGTCAATCTTTGGTAAAAGGGAAATGTTGCTACTGTTGCAGTTTGCAAGTTGCTGCCACAGACAGACACACTCTTATAATTGCATATAGCGCCAGTTGAAGTTCCGGTCGGTTGAGTTTTTGCCTTGGTTTTTTATTGTTGTTGTTGCACGCGCTTTCTTTCTTTTTTTTTGTAGCTTTTATTTTTTTTTGCGGCGGCGCCGCCGACAGACGATGCTCGTGTATACGAGTATGTGTGATTGGTGAATGCCATGTTGCCACCCAAGTTGCCAACTGGCAACTGGCTGGCTGGTCCAAGACTTAATAGCCGCTTTCATTGGCCAAAAGCCCCCGATAAGAAGAGGAGGCCACACACGAAGCGGTCTGCTGGGCGTCTTGTCGTCGCGACTCCTCCGACGACTCCTTTGGCAGCTCTGGCAACCAATGCGAATGCGTTCGCCTTGATGTTTATCGGCAATATGTTGTTGCAACATGTTTTTTTTTTTTGGCCAAAAGTCCCCTCCAAAACGGTAGCCCCCTCTTAATTACAATAACAACAACAAAAACCAAACACAAACAGCTGCCTGTCTTGACCATTAAGATAAATCGGAAACGGAAATCACTAATGAAAAATTTCCATATTTATGGTGGCAATAAAGAGTCTACTATACATCTATATAGCAACACAAATCTCGAGCCGACAACAGGGGCAGCTAAACAACTAAATTTCGTTGTCGACTGATTGGGGATGTGGTTGTGTGTGGCCTTTTGGCCGTCCCGTCCGGGCCTGGCTGGCCACCAACGAAGTCCACTTGGGCGGTCCAGTCCGAAGCTTGCGTGATTTGTTCTCTTTTTGTTTGGGTTTAGTTTTTTTTAATTATTTTTTCTTTAACGTTATGTCTTTATTTGTGAGTATGTGTTGCAATTAATTCCAATGAAATTTAATTAGAATTAAAGTGTTTTTTTTTTGCTGCTCATAAGGCAGGCGCAATATATGAGTCAATAAAATATCTCTCAAGTATATTAGGCCATTTAAATGCAAGAGTGGAATAACTATTGTGGTTTTTAGTTTTTTATATTTACTGAAATATGTATTTAAATAAAACAAAAAAGGATCCACAAAAGCCATAAAAATATGGTCCAAAACCCATTGAATGGCCTCCTATAATTGGCTCTACAATTGGTGTTCGTGCCCAAAAATTAACTGCCCGATGCCCCCTTAAAAATAGAAACCAAAATCCAAATTATATGGCCCATAGAAAATTAGCTTTATTTTCCAAGTATTTTCTTTCGTTTTTTTTTTGTTTTCGGTCGGTCGATCGGTTGGATGTATTTTGTTTTTCAAATGGGGGCCCACCAACGATGGGGGACCGCCATCAGCGATGCCATAATAAATGATTGATCGAATGTGAGCGTGTGAGTACGCATATGCATGCCCTATATGTACCAGATATATCCATAAATATATATACAACAATATGGAGAGGATCATCGTTGGCGGTATATTTGATTGATGCGCTTTTCGTGAAGCCCAACGCTTCAGATACGCACTTGGCGGCTTTATGGTTGTATGGCCTGTATGGTTCTGTTCTTGGTTGGTTGTGTTTTTCTTATGTTTTTTTGTTGCTTTTGGCATCTTTATGCTTCAACACAACTGTCAAAAGATTTGCCCAACAACGGCATTAACGGCCGCCAGAAGAGGGACGTCAATGGGCTGTTTGCAACATGCTGTGATTTTTATCGCCGTCACACACGATGCGTGTGGTCCACATCCACATCCACATCCATGTCCATGTCCAAGTCCAAGTCCATGACCGTCTCTCTATCTGTCTCTGTCTACATCTCAGTGTCCAGTGTCCAGTTCCAGTTTCAGTGTCAGTTCCACGTCCCTGCTCCTTGGACTTTGCTTGTGTTTTATGGCTGTCACACATATTGTCCAAACCCGATGGCTATAATTAATTGCTCTCTTAAGATGAAGCCCAAGCATTGGTAAATATTTAAATTTGAAAAAAAAATATATATATATGAGATTTTTAAAATTAAGTTACAGATAATTGAATTTAAATTTAAAAACTAAAAACACCATTTAGTCACCTTGTTAATTACCAACTTCAACAACGAAAGAAATGAAATATCTGTCGAGGGGGGAGAAACAAAACAAGGTCACAGCAGTTAACAGCCTAGAGGTCCATAAAAACCAGATCCTATGCCATTTCCCGAGAAATCATTGCACTCGGAAACCATGCTAAGGTCAAACAGAGAGCCAACACGTGCTATTTATAGGGAAAACGCTGGGTCAGCTGCCTACTACTAGATGATATATGAGCCGCTGCTCACTTCACCGGTCAGTTTACATGGCTCGTTGCTATTTGCATGTCAACAATTTTCCGAATTGTTGGCCGTGACAGACTTGTGGGTAAACAGACACCACGTGGGCTTAGGGTAGGATCTCTGGGGGTCTTTGAATATTAAGTACCCGCCATGTGTGTGGGGTCAAGATCTGGCAAATAAATCTTATTTCTGAAGAGACTTTAGAATCCTTTAACCATAATTTGCATTCCAAATATCAGATTATTTTCTCGGTTTTGCAAATCTCGATTGCTTTATGGAAAATTGATGATTTCTCAATCAAATTGCAGGGTCGTCGGTCTACTACCGATGGGAAAAATACCAAAAAAAAAAAAATAACAAACTTGGCGCTCAGATTCGCCTGGCCTCTCGTCATAATTTCAAGAAAAAAACAAAAAAAAATGTTAAGACAACTCACCGAACGCCACACGGTGGCAGTTTTGGTCCAAAGATTACGGCCGTCAGAAGGCGAGAGAGAGGGGGGGAGGGGGTAAGGTGGAGTGGTAAGGTGGGGTGGAGCCGCAGGCCCAGAGGCCGCACACACGGAAGGCGGCTAAAGATCAAAGCAAGCGCCAAAATGAAAATTATTACAAAGTGATGTAGCATGACTAAATACAATTTTATGTAGCCGGGGTGGAGGCTTCGTGGTTTCTCGTCTCCCTTTGAGATTGGACCATCAAGGAATGCGAGTATATGGAAACACTGAAAGAAAAACCAAAATATTCCAAAGAAATAGAAAAGAAAAGCTTAAAAAGACAAACCCTTCAAGAGTAACTTCATGTCAGTAGCATATATTTCTCCTTCATGTCTTTAATACTTTGATTTTGTAATCCATTTCTTCAAGTGTATCTGGAGTGG